AGCAGAGCAGCTCGCCCGCCTCTGCTCCCTGCCGCTGTGCCTTGGCTGGCACCGGGCCTTGGGGTTTCGTGCCCTTAGATCCTCTGGGTCGCTCTCCAGGTGCAGAACTGGCAAAACAGTGTCTGGAAAACTTTTGGCAGTAAAGAGGCTGGTGTCTAGAGCCTTTTGAATTGTCATTTTGAACGTGCGTCTTCTTTGTTCTTCCAGCATTAAAGATTGGAAAACGAGACTGAGCTATTTCCTGCAGAACTCTTCCAATTCTACTAAAATGAAATCTAAGAAAGTGGGAAAACACCGCACCTACTTCAGGTGAGTTATGAGAAAGAGACTTTGTTTAAATAACTCAAGTGTTTTATTAAAAGCAATAAAGCAATGGAGTCTAATATTCTCCATCTCTTTCTGCAGACCTTCCCCTGAAGAAGCCCAGCTGTGGTCAGAAGCCTTTGATGAACTTCTTGCTAATAAATGTAAGTTTGTCTTCAAAAAGTAACATTCAAGAGCCAAGGAGTGGTGAAGTTCATATGTCTGCAGGAGGTTGCTTCCTTTCATGTCAGAATTGTACCTTTCTAATGTAAATAGCTTTGATTCTGGTTTTGAAAGTTAAATGCTTTAAACTGCTTAAAGCCAGAATTTACAGAAGTGCTCTTTTAAAAAAAAAAATATGCTCAAGTAACATTAAAACATCAAGAATACTCTACTCATTGTAGTGGAAATTTTTCTGTAGCCCTTGTAGTTATACCTATCAGCCTGGCTTTCCATATGGGAGAAGAGCATTTGTTGACTGAGCTTACTGCTTAACCAAGACAAATGCATTCAAATAACTTGGGAACGATTCTGCAACACAGAAGTTCAGTGATCTCAGGGTTTTACTGTAGCTCTGCAGTGAAAGGCAAAGGAAAAGCACTAGACAGCAACGCCAAAAGACTAAGGAAGAATATTACCATTTACTCTTTGAACTTGAGTCATCCTTTCCACTGCAAAAAAATATTCCAGAGGTTTGTTGCCCAGTCATAAATATTTACTCTGGTGCAAAGATTAACAGAGGAGATGCCATCTAGAGAGAGGGTTTTTTAAGATACCTGCAGGCATCACGAAAGGGAACATGCTGACTATAAGTGACTTTCATTTTCTGCATTTCCCTAAAAAATGAGTGACTCAAAGTGAAGCCTGCCAAGCTGTTAGTGTTAATTTGTTTGCATACATAAATGTGGATTTTTTTTTTTTATATTGCTATGATATCCCTAAAAGAACCAGATCAAAACTACAGCAAAACATTTTGGTAGAAACAGATTTGACTAGTGGATAAATTCAGGATTCCTGAAATAGTAATGGATGTGTATTTTTCTTTGTTTCCCTAGATGGTCTTGCTGCTTTCCGAGCTTTTCTGAAATCTGAGTTCTGTGAAGAGAACATTGAGTTCTGGTTGGCCTGTGAGGACTTCAAGAAAACCAAGTCACCCCAGAAGCTGACATCAAAAGCAAGAAAAATATACAACGACTTCATTGAAAAGGAAGCTCCCAAAGAGGTAAAGAAAACCTATTTAAATGCAAATCCCCTGTTCTCTGAGTTCTTACAGCTTTTCTTTATTTCTCTAAACTGGCTTTAAGATACAGATTCCAAACTGCATTGTTAATATCTGAGCATGAATGTGCCTCTCTCCCTAACTGCCTTTTTACCAAGCTGTAAAATGGCACAAGCAGTATTTTAGAATTTCCATCTTTCCAGGAAAAGTCAACAGCCACATTTAACACCTGTAACATATTTGAGTTTAGCACTGATAGGCAGTATATCTGATTTACCTTGGGGTTTGTATAAAGGAAGAATTTTCTTAATGGAAACTTAATTATTTTGACCCTGTAATAATAGGGTTTTGCCTTTGACCTCTTCAGAAATTTTACGTTGCATGTACTTTCTTGAATTCAGTTCTCCAAAGTAACTGTCGGATTTTCTTCCATTTCAGATAAACATAGACTTCCAAACCAAGAACATGATTGCTCAGAACATTCAAGAAGCCACACACACCTGCTTCAGTGCAGCACAGAAGAGAGTTTACAGCTTAATGGAGAATAACTCATACCCACGATTTTTGGAGTCTGAATTCTATCAGGAGCTGTGCAAGAAGACACCCATCACCAGAGCTGCCCAGGGGACATGAGCAATGGAGGAGAGTGATAAGAAGCCTCCCAGCTGGTGAGGAAGCCACCCACAGCTCATGGCAGCGTCCTTACTGAAAGGCTGAGATACCGAGTGCTCAGTCTGTTTGCTGTGCAAGGACACACACTGACTTTGGTGCCAAGCTGATGGCAAAGAGTGATGCTGGTGCTGTTGGAGGGCAGTCAGAGGGGGTGGCAGGGCCGTGCCAGCCAACTGTTGGCCACCGCTGCCCTGCAGGACTGCAGTGAGAGGGACTCCATGAGTTAGATGAAACCGCGCGGTGCGAGTCCTTCTGTCGTGGCTGAGGTGGCGATGCAGCAGGGCGGAACAGAGCTTCTTTCTTGTAAACAGAAGCTGTTCTGTGCAGTTGCACTGTGCTGGCAACTTAAGTAGTTGCTCACGTATTTATTTTTCCTAAACATCAACCAGTGTTGCCATTGTCAGCCACTCAGTGTTCTCACTGGTTCTGTAAACTGCCTCCAGCTGCAAAGAGATGCGTTGGTTTCTGTGCAACAGCTTCCAAACAGTAACACCACTGTGCAGCCTGAAGTGAGGCAGGGATATAACTCTGTTCCCAGAGGAACAGGTTCTGCAGCTAAAGTATGCAGGACTGGGTTGTGTCAGTGGGTCTGCTTGAGGCCAGACTGAGCTGAAGGCAAAACTTGGCCAAGGCGAACAGGAGCTGTACAGTATTATATTTATATCTGGATTATGATTGTGTTGAATGCTGCAATAACATCATAATTCTGTCTTGAGGACAGCAAGCTTCAGTGAAGTATATTACTGTTTTTAATAAACTATTTTGATATAAAATTTCTTTTGTTGCACTTAATTTGTTTTGCATGCACACGGGTATACAATCTGGCCCTAAACTACAGTGTCTTGGGACTGCATATCCTGGGTGTGATCTTAATAAGGCCAATTTTAAAGCAGTTAGTTCTTAATCTACCAGGCAAGTGTTTTGTTTGGGAGTTTTTTTAGCAGAAGAAAAGTAAAAAGCTTAACAGGTGAGACATAGTCCATTGCATCCACTGTCTTAACCACCTCCCTGTTAAACCAATCTCTAAGACAGTGCAAGGCACATGGATGGCTACACATGACAGAGCAACTGGAGAGCACCAGTAGTCCTTTGAAGCAGCCACAAGCAGTCTCATTGCTGCTGGAGGTCAGAGGATGCTACTTGTAATAGAGGTAGTAGCACAGGCTGCTGCTGCTCAAGACCTCTGCTTCAAACAGGGCTGAGGAGGGATTCAGTATTGGGCTGTAAAACTCATGCAGGGACAGTGGAGGTGATACTACAGTAAAAGCATCTGACTCCCTGGTAGGTGAGTGCATTTTAGGGGGAAAGTTATTATTCCACACCAATTTTTCTAACTGACAGCATCCAAACCCAGTACTTCCAAAACACTCCATAATTTTAGTTCTGTAGCCATTTAGGTCCTGGCTCTAGCTATTTTGACTCCACTCCTCAGGTTACAGCTCTGATTGCTCAGTTCACTTATCTCCACAGCCATCTCTTCTCTAATGCTCCACTACTCCAAGCATCAAGAAAATCCTAACTACAGAATTTTCCACTTCAATTAAACATCCAAAGACTGCTCAGAAGCAACTACTTCATGTACGTATATAGATATTGCAGGATATAAAGCAGTGTGTATATATATGTACACACACAGATATGTATACTTGTAACACTGCCTTTGTACATGCCAAGAGGCAAATTTGGTACCACTCCCACTTGGCTGTAGCCCCATTCCTGGGGTTGTGAGACCAGCTCTCATGCGGCTAAACTTGCTGATCAGTGAAAGAAGCGTAAGAAAAACTCAGCACAATAATTTACTGCAGCAGAGACAAGTTTTTTTCTAGCTAGAAAAAACAGATTTGGGCTGATAATTGACTTTGTAATCTAACAAAGTAACTTGGAGAGCATAAAAATAGACATAATTATACCTATTAATGACTCAGAGCCACAGCAGGAATAATTCTGTGAAGCTTCATTGGCTTCAGTGAAGCTGCATTAATCTGTGCCAATTTGGGATGTGGTAATTAACCACCACTTGGTGTCTGGTTTCAAGGAAAGAAACACTTCTAGTTTCAACAGCTGGCAGAACTACTTATAGAACAGTATGTAGTTCAGAGGGGAAATTAGGTGGGGCTTTTAGGCAGGACACCACTGCCTGAGGGCTGTTCTTGTATATTTTTAAGATTTGAATCGTGAGGGTTGTTTTTTAGGATGTATGTGCAGGCAGCTCCATGGCTTCCACAGAGCATGTCACTGGGGTAGCAAACCCACCAAGCCATACTGAATCCCTCCATGGTCTGCCTGCAGTATCTGAGAGCCCTGGTTTCAAGGCTAGTCTTTGCATAAAAATAGTTTGGTACATCAAGAGAAAGAAAAAAAATATGTAAATTTTTAAAAAAACCTTTTTTTTTTGGTAAAATGTACCATATCTGTCCTCACAACGTTCCTTCCAGTTATTGCTTTTCCAGTTTTTGATACAAGCCCTGTTTTCCCAACACCCAGGGATAAGTTTCACCAGAAAAAAGGGCTCAACAGGCACAGTGGGAATGCTGCAGCCCCCAAAAGATTGCTATGAACACTTCCTGGAGAAATCCAAAACCACTGATTGTTTTAAGAAATGCTCCATCCATAATCTGGGCAGTGTCGCTGCTGCACGTAGTATCAGTACTCAGGTATCAGTATCCAGTGGCAACCAGCAATAAACTGCTCATTCCCCTCATCCTGGCTGAGCAAGTCACCCTCCCACCCAAGGCCTGCTGTGCTGGACACTGCCCAATCCACCAGGGAGAAGTCTGGGAAGGGCAAAGGGAGTGCAGCAGAACTGGGGTCCCACTGGCCAAGGGGAAGCCTCTAATATGCAGGTGGCCAGAACACAATCCTTTTTCTTCTCGCTTCCATCAAGCTTTAGAACTGCTCCAGCCCATATCCCCATTGACAGCCACCAGGGCAGGAAAATAAGAAGGGACCCTGACAGGGAACAAAGTTCCAGGAACTATAGCTGCAAAGGAGCACAGATTCCAAACAAGTCTCTAGACAAGCTGAACATTTTTAGAACAAGGACTCGCTGCAAAAAGCAGAGGAATGAGAAGTGGACAGAGTGGTGGGTCAGCGGGCAGCCCAGCTCTGTCCTGGCTCCAAGTTCCAAGAAAAAGAATGCCAGTTCATGCACTGCTAACATAGGAAATACTGGCAAGTCAGGTCTGGGGGTCTAGGATTGCTGAAAAATACCAGCAAATCTGGAATAAAGGCAACTTTTGGCTGTCCACGTATCACTTTTTAAACCACAGTCTCGCAATATGTGGTGCTTTCCTAGCTGCTGGAGGCAAGCTCTTCCCCTGCTTTCCTGTCACAAAAAACTACATTTCTTACTCTCATGATTATGAAGAAAAGTTTGAAATTGCAACTGGAGTATCCCTAGTAATTCCTCAAATCAGAACTTAATGCAAAAACTATGCAGTCTTTTTTTCTTTCTTAATTATTATTATTTTAAATACCTAACTTTCTAAGCCAGCCTTGTGCTTTTGGGAAACTAGATCATGAGGTTCAACTGTTTGGATCCAGCTACAACTGATTTTTTTTTAATTTTTTTTTTAAGGACTTCCACTGACAGTGCAGCATAGGGCAACCTGATAGGGAACCCTCTGTGCTATCAGGAGAAAAAAACATATAAAGTAATCTCCTAAAACATGAAACCAAAGCACCTGACCCTCAGCAAGTGCCCTCTGGCCCAAAGACTGGAGAGGACGTCTGAGGAGAGGGTGAGTTCAGGAGCAATGCTGACCCTCCACTCCAGCCCAACAGGAAAGCAATGTTGTACCATGAGCAGGTAGAGATGAAGTGCTCTTGCTCCATGGATTTATGTATCGTGGCTGAAAAAGGGCACCAGGACTATAAATAAAATCTGCATTTCCACTCAGACTTCCAGATCTCTATTTGGAGACGGGGACACTAATGACGGTTTAAAGGACTTTATAAGCAGGCATATGTATCTGGAAGGGTTTGTTGGATGAGGCTTCATAACCAACCAACTTCCATAAAGCAGAAAAGTGACCTTTACAAATAGTTTTAAAATCTTAATGAGTTCTGGCAGGGACGTGGGGGAGGACAGAGGCATAAATTTGACCTAGTGTGATTCAATTGGGAAAAACTGGTCAGACCTGGGACAGTATCCAAAATTAATTTTCCTTCAGGTGGCGAAACATTACCAACAGCTTCCCCTCATTGCACTAGCACTGCAATACCCAGTGTCCCTCCTGGCTCACACGTGTCAGGAACAAACTACCAGATAAAGCTACTACATCAAGCCAAGGTTCATCCCCGTGAATGGCCAGAAACCAGGCTGGTGATGGGCCTACCTGAAATACAGGTCCTTGATCCATCCAGGAGAACAAGCTAGAAATGAGATTGAACCTACAGTACAGCCCAGGGAAAGATGTGGCCTTTAACAGGCTGAGCTTAAATGAATTCCTGGCCAGTGGGCAGGAGGTGGGGTGGGGGCCCAGGTGGAGCTGCTCAGGGCAATTAAAGTCATTAATGTCCTCAGGGTCCTGACACTACTGTGAAAGAGCCTTTTTCTGAGGGCTGTAGTGCTGGTCATGTGAGTCAATCAGCTCATGACCCCAAAGCAATCTGAATTTTTGAGGCAGCTCTGTGGTTGGATTTGTGGTGAGCACCCTCAGCTAGTAGCCTTGGCCAGTTTTGTAGATCTGCTAACTGGCATTAGCCTGAGTGCTGTCACGGGGAAACGATGGCTGACCAGCACAGAAACCCAGGGAAAATAGTCCTACTGTTAATCTACGTAGGAGTTTAAAATGGGAGTCCTTTGGCAATCTTTCATTAAAATAATAATTTAGATCAGAGTTTCCAACTACGAAGTACCCATGAGCAGCAATTAAATGATGTTCCATTAAAAATATTAAATATTCCATTCAAGATAATGTAATTGACAGAAATTATTACTTATGTTCCCCAGCCAGTTT